AGATTTCCAGTTTTTATTGTTGTAACTGTATCTTTATATGTCTATGCAGACATGTGAGAGGTTTTCTTGAGTGGCTCCTGGAAGCAGAGTTGCTAGGTCTTAGCGTTAGAGACGTAGGTTGGCAGCAGTTTTCCTGTGCTGGAGCTGGTTAGGCACAAAATGGGTGTTGGGGAGAAAAGTTAGTGATTGGTCTAATTAAGCAAGCTAAGATTAAAAATTAAATCAAACTTTGAAACAATCATTCCCCCCCATCCCAGAGAGTGATGAGACTGTTTTCACCTATGTGTAGGGTTATCTGCAAATCGTATTATCATTCTGAGCTCACCTTTCTACACCAAGTCTGTGATAACGTGATTTAAGTAACCAAACAATTACAGACACAGCCTTGAACCCCACAGGGTGACAATACAGGGGCTATAGCACTTCTGAAATGAACGTGAGGACTTTTCTTTGGTCTTTTTCTCCCATTAGAACTCACCAGGCCCATTCTCATTGCTGTATTACTGGCTTTACATTTGTCAGGCTCTGTGACTGCAAGAAACAGGGTCACTCAAGCAGCCTGAAGTCATGTGGCTTTATGGGAAAGAAAACAAGCCACTCTCAGGGGATTAGAAATTTCATGACAGCTCTGAAGAAACGTTCAAGATCCATGGCTCCAGTGAATGGGTTAATTGGTTACCTAATTTCGCATCCAAACTGGGCAGATATTAATACTGATCAGGCATTTTCTTGGCTTTCCTATGTGTCTTGATTTTTTTCCTAATACCAAATTCTTGATTCTCTTTTCCATATTTTATCCTTCAAATTCCCTTTTATGGCAGAACTTTGCATGCCCGGTTGTTTCATAAATCACTTGGCCAGGCAGTAAATTGACTGCTTCTGGGTTATATGCCCACTTTTGGGTGAATCATTGGAAATCTCCCCACTGATTGAGAATATTCTTCACTCTCCCACCCCTCCTTTTCCCGTGGCTCCTGGTGTCTGGAAGTCCTGGTACTCCCTCTGACATTCTTTCTCTGGCCTCCCTGCACTCCCAGAGGGTAACCCAGGCCCGTGGAGCACCCTCCCTTGCTCCTCTACCATCTGCAGTGCCCTCACTTGAAACAGTTTGGTTCTTATCTATTTCATACACTGTTTTGTTTTGTTTTTTCCTGCAGCTCTAATTTTGGCACAAAGGCCTAGCTATGTAAACGGCAGGGGTTAAGTATTCCGCGTTCTAACCGGAGTGCCCAATAGTGAGAACTGGACAAAGCCCTGCTCCCATCGTCCAGAGCAGAACTGACCCTGATATAATCAACTGCCTCCTTCCCACCCGACCACCGAAGTCCAAATAAGCACAAGACTGGAGAAAAGGGAGGGAGAGTGACGGTCCCAGAACATCCGGGGTGGGGAGGCTGGGCCCTGGCCCCATTCCACAGCCAGGTGAGGGGCAAGTTCACCAGTATATTCAGGGGGATTCAGGGGCCTCAAGGGGAGACTGGCATTTCATTTGGTCATCTGCTTGTGAAGCTGAGTTGTTCTGCCAGAGAGAGAGAAGGGCAGGAGGGGCTTGTTGTTTGTCTGCCTTCTACCATTTGACACCAGGAAGGATATGAGTTGCCACAGGTCAAGCACGATGCAGTAGGAATCCAAGAAGCTGGGGCAGGCACTTCAGGGAGTGAGAATCAAGGGGTAAGGAGGAACCCAAGCTGGAGTCCCCCCAGATGGGAGGGCGGAGCAATCGGAAGAGCCCCACATGTGCCCTTGGGAACATCCGCATTTGGATGCACACCCCTCAGAAGCCATCAGTGACCAGGGCTTGCTTGCCAGAGAAGCCACTCAAGGAGGCAGGGCTACACTAGTGACGCTAGTGTCGTGCCCCCTCTCCTCTCCCCTCACGCACTAGAGGGGCTCAGCTTGCAGTGGCATGGGGAGAAAGTGTTTCTCCACGCCGAGCTACTCAGGTGGACTCTGCAGAGGCGAGGACGGGGCAGGAGATTTAAGTCAAGTGTGGGGGCAAATTTTAAACTGTATTGAATTTTTTAAGTTGTTGAATAATTCTTCATTTGGTTATTTGATTAGCTTACTCTCTAAGAAAAGAATCCATAACTGGAAGTGATCAGAAAGTTATGGACTCATACCACAGTGTCATTAAATGCCCTATTTTGTTTTTTTTCCTTGTACCACAATGACAATCTTATCACACATGTGGCAGACGGGCACAACGTACGTTGGGATGTGCATAAGGCTACTGTACATGTGAGTAAGAAAAGGAGTCCGCCTTGTCTAGTCATCATAAAGCCCAAGGTCCACCACCCCCTTCCTTTCTCCTTTAACAGATGTGTTCAAAGAAAATCCACACTTAAACACAAAACTAGAATAGTTCCTCTTTCGTCTGTTTTACATACAAACTTTTCTTTAAACCCCCTCTACCCCCCACTCCCACTGCTTTAGGATATCTCAAGGAGTCACTGATGATAGAACTTCAAACTTTTTATGCTACAAAGAAACTTACAGGCCATTTGACCCATTTCCCTAGATGGATCCTACCAAGTGCCCCAACCTTCTCATAACGCTGGAAAGCGATCTGTGCTACAAATGAACTATTATTATCAAAATGGTTATTATAATCCCTGTGCCCTCAAAACAAAGCAAAACCCAGTATCTTTCCTTTGGGACCTCTGCTAGGTGGTAGAAGAACAGCCATAGGGTTGAAGCTTTTTAATTAAATGGCTCTCAGTCTCATAGCTATTAGACATACTTGCATTTTAAAAAGAAGTTGCTAGTTAAGTTCAATAAAGCTGTTTATCTGTAGAAGAGTGGGGAGTTGGACAAAATGAAGTGAGGACATTCAGGAATGTGGGAGACAGTTTCTTTGGCTGTAGGGTAGCACCTGGCCACCATCTTGGCAGGCTCGCTGGAGGCAGGCCTCGGGGGTTGGCCTCGGGGTTGATTCCTTCTACCCCTTCTCCCTGCGGGAACCACATGTTCTCTAAAAGCGTGGAGGGTGTTCAGGGCAAGGCTCAAATCTGCAGATACCTTATGTCCACATGCCTGCATCTCACATGTCCACATACCTAATCTAACATGTCCATATACCTATATTGGCCTGAAGAGCTTCTCAATAAACCACAAGCATTTTATGACTGAAACCTGACCCCAGATACTTGGGGAGCAGAGCAGTCCCAAGATACTCCCAGCCCCCTGCACCCTTGTAAGAAGACAGGTGCTTGCGGAGTACAACCGCCGATTGGTTTTCCCTCTTGCTGCCATTAATGGAGGCTTAGCAACTGTGGGGCGTTTAAAAATACACCTGAGTGACAGAAGATGATTGACACTGTCCGTTTCTAGTTCTCCGTGCCGTCTGCGGCTGGAGCCCCCCGTGGTTCTCTAACCTGCGCTGCTCACCACGCACTCGGGGTGGCGCCCTCCGAGCCTTTCCCACCCGTGAGTCCTGTGCCGCCGCTCAGACCCTCGGGAGGGCACCCGTCTTCCCCTGCGCCCTCGCTGCTTCTCGTGCCCTCGAGGGCGGTGTTCCCGCAGGTTTATACCCCGATCCTGGCTCTGCCCAAGGGACGGCATGTTTCCTAAGACCAGCTATCGGCAGCCGTTCCGTAGGCATTTTCGGCTTTTTAGTATGTCAGTCATTGCTGTGTACAAAGGATTTACAGTTGCACACCCCCAGAAGGGTCCATGGGAAGCACCGTCTCGGCAGAGCGACCCCCCACAGAGGGGCTTGTTTGGCCATTGCGGCCGATGCCGAGGGCCAGCGGCGTAGGGGGGCTTCCTAGGGGCCCGTGTGTCTCAGGCAGGTCAATCCTGTCCCTGGAATAGAATTCTGTTTGGTTAAGGACCACAGAACTCCATCTAACTTGCATTTTCAAAGGCAAGAATGATGTGTACAAGGTGATGACATTAGGGTTTTGACCTCAAACCCTGTGAACTGCAGCAGAGGGTGACAGGGTGGACATTCCTGTCCCAGGCTCCGCCTTAGGCACAGTGCGGGACTGGCCTGCTCGGCCTGCTGACCTGGTGGGTGCAGGGCGGCCTGGGTGGTGCCAGGCCATGCCACACCGGACCTGGGGCAGAAGGACAGATGGGGTAACACGGATCCCGCCATTAATTACAGTCTGGATATTTTTTTACGTTAATTATGATTTTTTTTAAATGTAGCATTCAGATATTATTTATCTTGATTACTGAATTTTTGGCTCCCCTGTCAGTCTTATTCAAGGGGCGGGACCCGGGTGCGGGGTTGGTGTTTGCTGGCCTGGGGACTCGTTCTGACATCTAAGTGCCTTTCATTTGCCTGCGTTTTAATGTATTTTCCACTTTTAACTATTTTGGCTTGAGATCTTGAAACATTAGAACAATTGTCCTTAATTGTTAGTGTGCATAATAGTTGTCTAGCATGCTTGTTAAAAACATGTCTTTCCAGTCCCTGTGCCCAGAAATTTGAATTTACTCTGCAAGGTGGAATGTGGATCTCTGCATTATCTGCATTTTTAAATAAAAGTGTTTCTGATGCAGTGGTTTACAAATTACACTTGCTCAAAAGCCCCTGTTTCAGGAGCTAGTCCTGTTTTGTGGGTTACACGCTGTTCCAGGTGGGGCAAAGGGGATTCCTGGGGAATGGCAGCTGCCACCAGAAGGTAACAGTAACAAAGGTTCGCTCTGCACAGACAGAGACCTGCAGCCAGACACTTCCCTACCGTAGGCTAGCCGCCACCCTAGTAGGTAGGAGCTTTGGATAACTCGGCGGATATTAAGTAAAACAACACATGTGTAAGCATCTGATGTCTAGAAGCAGCCCACAAATGCAAGGAGTTACTGTTACTACATTTATACAGTGTTTTTAGAGACGCTTAAGACATTCTAGAGAGCATCACGTTCCTTCTTAAATCCCTAGCCGGCGCATTCTCTACATTTAGTAGGATCATCCCTGAAGGCGTGCTGCAGCACTGCTTCTCCACCTGCGGTCTGAGGACCCCCTTGTTGATTACGCATACCCATCCCTGAAGCTGTCGCCCGCTGCTCCCCAAAACGCTTCTGTCGGCCTCACTTGTGGAAAGCTGCGGCCATATCTCAGGACAGGAGGAGCTTCAGGGTAGTGGGGTCTGACACAGGACAGATGGGCGGCCCAAGTGCCTGCAGGGACTGTCCCCGGCACTGAGCCCTCAGAGAGCCGGCAGGCCCTCACCCATGGCTGGCAGAGGTGGACACCAGGAGCCCGGGGGCAGGAAGCTGACCTGCAGGCTGCGGCTGGTGTCATCGCCATGGTGCTCTGGTACGCTGGGCTCTTCTCCCTGGGGACATCCCCAACTGGCTGAGCCATGCTTCTTGGACAGTGTTTCAGGCGACCCTCGTCTTTGTTCCCTGTTAGACGTGCCCCATTAGTGAAGACTTTGAACACTGAGGACCCTGCCTCTCACCACAGAACCTGCACATGTCGCCGAAGGCACCTGTCTTCTTGGGGGTTGGTCCCACTATGGTTCCCTCCCAGCTCCGCACCGTCCAGGGTGTGGACTCCCTGCGTGACGGTATCTCTGATGCTGGTGGGACCCACCACTGCTCCCACTCGAATTGTGTGTTACAGTGGTTCGGGCTGGCATGCAAGGATTTCGGTCCCAGTTCTTCAGTGGGCCATACCACTGACCCCACCACCCCACTCCCTGTTACTGGCCCACACCACCTATGGGTGAGATGCTCTGCATTCGGGGTTCTCTGTCATCTTTCTGGAACAAGAGTGGGCCAGGACAGCTGGGGAGGCAAGTCCCACAGTGAGGGGAAAGGAATGATGGGCCTCCTGTGAAAGGCAGGCAGTGGGAGAGGCTGGGCCCAGCCCCCTGCACCCTAAGCCACAGAGGGGCGCTTTCAGTTCTTGCGATTTCTGCTTTACCTCTCCAGCAGATCGAGATCTTTTTAACTTCCTGACCTTTTCTTTTTGGGGATGTGGGGAACACGGAGTGCCCAGGCCAGGACGAGATGTATGGGGGCCAATGGAGAGAGCACCAGGCTTCGGAATTATCAGGAACAAGTGGATGGATTTTTTATTTTGTATCTGGAAGTTAACGGGGTGAAGTTAAAAGGCAAATCTATTTACCTGTCCACCTGCGCCATGCATGTGTGGGCAGGCGTGCACGCGTGCACACACACACACACGCACACACACGCACTCCTTTACTCAATCTCTTATGTCATATTGTTTCTACCACTGTTCTCCTGTTGCGCTGCCAGAAGAGGAAGATGATACTTTGAAAGACATCCGATCCATCTAATGAAAGAGGAAGAACACGGACATGAGATGAGAGGGATTTCTGGGAATGAAAGTGTGAAACACGCGGGACAGGAGAGTGAGTCATCCAGCCAGGGCAATCATGACAGACCGTCTGGCTCGTACCTCCCAATTATTTTAAGCATATTTGTAGACTTCTAAATTGGTTGACAATTACCTATTTTGCTGCATGAGGGAGGGAGAGGCAAGGGGCATGCGTTTGTTTATTTGCCTCTGACAAGGAACATCTGCGTGGACATTGAGGCAGGGTATATTTTGGCCTAGGCCTCTGAAAGGGGCCTTGAAAATGATACATCTGATTAATAATGAAAAGGAAGAACAAGGGCAAAAGAAGACGGCAAATGCTGGCTGGCCTCTTCCCTTGTGGCAGATCCCTCCCCGCCATTGTGGCTGAAAATGGCAGGTCCCCAATTCCCAGCCTCCCTTGTGGCCGCGCATGGCCGTGTGTCCCACACGGTGACCTCCGGGAAAGGCTGCAGCGGACGGGAGGGGGTGTCTGGGAATGGTTTTCCTGCCGGAAATGGGTGAGAGGCCTTTAACGAGTACCTTTTCCTGTTTCCTTCCTGTTTGGAGCAGCTGGGGAGCTCACCCTGTGGCCGGGAGGGAGAGCTCATGGGAGCCTAGAGATGCCGCCCAGACGTGCAGGCGAAGCTTGGGCCTGTGCAGGAGCAGGGCCACCGGCCTCATTGCGCACAGAGGGCATGTCGCCTGGTACAGATAGAGAAGACAACCATCGCACAGAAAGTCATTGCTTGGTTTGCTCCGAGGTAAATGAAATCCCTTCTGAACTATTACCAGCACCCTTACCACCGCAGACAGACAGTAGCCAGAGTGACATTTACAAGCATTTTATATTCTTGTGCTTTAGATACACTGTTTCATTCAATACTGGCCCCTTGAGATAGCTATTATCCCCATTTTGTAGGTCTGAAAACCAAGTGCAGAGAGGTAAGTCATTTGCTCCAGGTAATGAGAAATACAGCGGAAGCTGAGCAGAGGGCCTGTCCCTATCTTTTCCTGCCTCCTGTCTGAGCCACAGACCTTTTTGCTTCCGGGGATGTGCACTGAGGCCCCTGACATGGAACTTTCCGAGTCTGTCGGTCAGGCCCTCTCGGCCCTCCCTGGTCCCGTTCCGCTCTCCTCATCTCCAGCTCCTGCCTGTTGAAGGTCTGAGCCCCCGAGGGCTTCACGTGCAGCTTGCTGGCCTCTGTCTTCACCTGTTCTTCCTCATGCAAAGTGCTGATGCGATCACCAACAGCTCTGATCTTGAGAGTCCTCTGTTCTTTGGCACTGTTTCTCATTGGCAGTCTCTGGCCATCTAATTTTACCTGCCTTCGGATATTTTGAAAAAATTTGCTTTCCTGATTCCTGAAAGGGTCATGCTGGCCTCCACACAGCTTTTCCTTTGTCTGAGGATGATTATGACTCTCTCGATCTGTTTCCCTCTCTCTCCCTGTTTCTGTCCTTTCCTCTGCACTAAGGAATTCTTTTCCTGATAAGAATAAGTCCAGAAAGAGCATCCAAATTCCACTGTAGAAAGGAAATTCTAAATCGTTCAAAGGGAAATTCACTTATTTCAAAATTAATTAAAATCTCTAAACAAAGGAAACAATTATTCTTGGTTCTTAAGCCAATTCTATATTCTCCTCCTTTCTGGAGTCCATATAATGTTTTTCTCTTAGGATGCTGAAATTTATAATGGTGGATCAAAAATCATGCAGAGCTATGTTGATTTAATTGAAAGATTTTGAAGTCAGTTCTTTTCAATTTTTTTCTTCTTTTAAAATTCCATGGACACAAAACTTTAAAAGTTGATATGTCCCTTATTATTAGCTATACCTAACTCTTTAAAAAATACCATAACTTACTTGTACTATGGCAAAAATCATGTTTATGTTTAAGAATCCTAACTTGATTGTTTCCTGCTACTTTTTTTTTTAAATGGAGGCTGTTTTCAACCCTAATTTTTCATTAAAGTAGCTTTTGTTGCTTTTGTGTTGGAACAGAGCAGCCTTTTCCAGACTTTTAAGCAAGATCAATTCTGACTAAATGGTGCACCGTAATGGTGTGACTAAAACCTTTGTTTAGTAAGTTATCAATGAACTTCTTACTCTTTCAGAACCAAACGTACCATCTTGTGGTGCATTGTGCATTCTGTGTGTGTGTGTGTGTGTGTGTGTTGTGTATGGAATCAGTTCTCTGGATTCAAAAGAAACAAAAACCCTTTTTTAAAAATGCGTTTAATTATTAGAATCATTGTCTGACCCAAAAAGTCAAGCGAGGCCCTGGTTGGTTGAGCAGCTCCGCCACGTTCATAGGGACCCAGGATCTTCCCTTCCTGCGGCTCTGCCATTGTGGGGACCTCATGGGTGAGTCCAGCAGCCCCAGGCATCTCATGCTCACTGGACAACCCCAGGAAAGGCGGAAAAAGTTGTGGGAGGCTTTCTGTTCTCCTCTGCCCTTCCTCTCTCTCTCTCTCTCTCTAATCAGGGAGGAAGAATTTTCCCCAAAGCTCTTCCACAGCAATGTCTGCACACACAAACACACGGACATACATCTTTTTTATGTCTTATATGCACACATTTATTATATATATATATTGGAAATTTACAAACATGGGCTGCTCATTATTAATTAGATAAGTAAACTAAGAAGGAAGAAGAAATTGAAACAATACAGGTGAGGATCATTATTTAGGCATGTTTGTTGGTAAACCACATTCTGAAAAGAAATCCTACCAGTTAAAAGTCTAATATCATACAATTAACTCTACATTAGGGGTTGATTCTAACCTACAGCACCAATATTTAAAAAACAGCTAATTCTAATAACATAATCTTCTAAGATGTATGTGCATGTATGGAAGACAACAGAACATTTCAGGACTTTGCTTTCAATGAATCCCCCCATGCTGTGTCTGCAAATTATCGGATTCATGTTCTAGGTTTTTTTAAAATCATATTCCACATACACAAACTCTATTACAGGTTTGAGTTCCCGGTAGCTTTTACATCTAAGGCCAGCTTTACCTTGATGCTGTAGCAAACCCGTTTTACAGATGAACCTGTTTGTACATGAAAGTGAATAGGTTATAAAGGCTGTAATTAAGGACAGGGCATGTACAAGGACTTTGCGTACTTAATTGCCAACTAAATGAAAGTGCTTGAAAAAAGCTTAAACTTTATCATTGGCACAAAGCCAGTAGCAAGGAAGGGTTATGGATGATTTCTTTGTTTCATTCAGGAAATTCTATCAGATGAGAGCTTGAGTCTGGCTTCCATTCCCACAACTCCAGAGACCCAGCTCTCACCTTGCCAGTCGATGTCATCTCTGTGCCAAAGCCACTGTGTGCTGTCTGTGATCTTGAATGACAGGCCCTCCCTGAAGCACTGGACATGCCTATCACATCCTCCCTGAAGCTCCCTCCCTCGGCTCCGATGACACCTGGGTTCTGCTAGGCCTCCATCACCGTACACGTGTTTCTTGGGCTCTTCTGCCCCTGACCGTGCCTCGAGCATGGGTGGGTCTGTGGTTCTCTTTCACTGCTCCTGCCCCCGCCACCTCCTTCTCCAGTAAGAGCATCCAGCTAATATGCTGTTGTCATCTCCATGGCTTTAAAAGTGACGTGCAAACTGTGGACCCCGGAATCTGTGTTCAGATGCCCTCGCCTGGCTCCGGCACTGCAGGCTGTCGAGCAGGACATGTGGGCGCTCACATGGACTCACGCCCACCTGTCTAAGCAGGAACTCCTGGGTGTCCCCAGCCACGCTAAGAGTCACTCCTTCTGCGGAATGACCCTACTGTCACCTTGGGAACAGGTCATTAAAGGGAGAATTCTAGATTCCTCCTTCAGCTCCCCTTCACATTCTGCGGTTTACTAAGTCTTCTCCATTCTACCTTCTCGATGTCTCTGGACTGACCTTGCAGTCCATTCCTGCTGCCCTGCTGTAGTCAAGGGCCTCACTGTTGGCTGGCCCTGGATACTGTGGCAGCCTTCGAACTGCTCTCCTTGCGAGCCTTGCCCGCTGAGGTCCA